GTTGCTACCGACATCAACGGAAAGGCCGTCTGACGCCAGGCCAGGAGAGTTTTCCCTTTATGAGGAAGCTCTGAAGGGTGGACTGAGGTTGCCACTGTCGCAAGTGGTAGTGGATGTGCTCAACCGTCTAGAGGTAGCACCGGGGCAACTAATGCCCAATGCATGAAAGATCCTGCTGACCTATGGAAAGAGGGGCGGCGGCGGGGCGGAGACTGGGGGAGATTTTGAGGCGGGAGAGAGAAGGGTTAACGAAGAGAGCGTCCATTTGAGAAGTGGGTACAGGAGGGATTGATGGTGTGTAGTGGGTGCAATTGGATTTGGAGGGATTGGGTTTGATGGTTGGTCATGGTTGTGTCCGTATGTGTGTAATCCAAAAGAAAGGTTGTTTGGGATAAGGAACATCATCCATCTATGATTCATCCTTGTGTGTTGTCACTTTTCCATGGGCTGGTTTTGCCTCAGCCACAAAAATATTTTTCATAATTACAGGTATTTGAGACGATGTAAGAAGTGGTTTAAGATGATCTAAATAAGTATATTTTTTAATTTTTTTATAAAATATAAATTGTGTATGAATTGAATTTGAAATGTAGTAGAAAGATGATGTGATTTAAATAAAATAGTAATTGTTGATACAGTTTATCCCAGTGAATGGAGCGAACTGGTCCAAGCTCCTCAAGCCCAAGCCTAAATGATCGTGCCCACCGGATAACCTGCAAACAAGTTCAACGGGAAACGGGGTAGTCCCCCAGTGAACCCTCCGACAAGCAAGTTAGGAAGAGAAGTAGAGTATAGAGGGAGAGATTAGAGATAGAAAGCTTAACATTTTTCTTGTCTTCAACGTTCGTTTATATCCTTTGACAATCATTTCGCTGTCCCTTCCGACCTGCTCTCCTCACCGAAAGCCTATGTTGTAGCTTACCTTGCTCAGCGTAAGGGGGTCCTGTTCCGGCGGAGGTGTTGTCGTAATAAATGCTGTGATGGGCTACATTAATGGTGATGTGCAGTGACAATAACTTTGCAGATCTTTGTCTGCTGATGTGGCTCGTCCTTCTCTTGCCGTGTGTCTGAATGTCATTGGCTCTTTATGCCATGTTGGACTCCAGCTGTCCTGGACCTTACCAGCTGGGTTATGCACTAGGCTCCAAGTGATGGGCTTGGATTGTCCATAGGTGATTCGTGGCCTTTATGGGCTTATACATGTCAGTAGTCCCCCATTCCCGAGTGCAGCTTTAGTCTAACGAAGGGAATATTAATGACGTAGATGAGTGTGTTAGGGATTGGCAAGATGAAGGTCGACCGGAAGGGGTGATCGAGGGGGGTGAACCGACCCGGAGGTGGTCCAACTGCGCAGGGCGACTGAGTGGAAGGGCCGATCACGGAGAGGACCGACCGCAAGGTTGGCCGAGTGGGATGGTCGACACCAAGGACGGCCGACCGCGGTGTTGGCCGAGTGGTATGGTCGACAGCAAGGAGGGCCGACCGCGAAGGGTGAGGTGGAGGGGCGTGGGGCTCGAGGCGCGGCGTGTCACGTGGTGAGTTGAAGCGGAAAAGACAGGGTAAGGGGAGGAGACAATAGATTGTGGTCGTACACGTGGCAACATCCCGTAGGGGGGAAGATTAGGCGTTGGATCATAAATGAAACGGTAAGTCATTATGGGTGTTGAAGAGAAAGTTTTGGCGGATGATTTTGAAAAGTTTTCGAACTGGAAAAAATTAATTGGGATCCTTGGAATACGGGCAAACCGTGGGCTTTTGGCATTATTCGATTCATCTACTTGTTTACGAAAAATCAAAATATTCCAAGTGTGAATTTCTTTGTTGCTCACAATACACCTTTGCAACATTTTTTCGATTTCCTTGTACCTACCGCCGAAGCGATTCGCAAACATACCACAGAAATGGCCCAAGAAGGAAATGCTATTGTCAGGGTGGACCCACTTGGAGATGATGATGCAGTGGAGCTAGCGGCGCAGTATAGGAGAGAGAGGGTGGGGGAGTCGGTGGTACGATCCCATGGTTCCACCATGATAGCAGCTCCAAAGCCACTCAGCCAGACAGAACCAGGTCATTGGCACACGAAGGCTGACAAATCCACGATTACTGCGGCGGAGTTAGAGGCTATCCGCGAAAAATACCAGATCCCTAGGGAAATGGAGTTATTGCTGCCGACATCAACGGAAAGGCTGTCTGACGCCAGGCCAGGAGAGTTTTCCCTTTATGAGGAAGCTCTGAAGGGTGGACTGAGGTTGCCACTGCCGCAAGTGGTAGTGGATGTGCTCAACCGTCTGGAGGTAGCACCGGGGCAACTAATGCCCAATGCATAGAAGATCCTGCTGGCCTGTGCAAGTGCGTGGCCAAAGGTGAATGGAAGGGAGGCCATGACAATAGACGAATTCTTTGCATGTTATAAGGCCTCGGGGCAGCAGGAGACGTGGGTCACTTTGCAGGCAGTAGTGGGGAAAGGGTTGGTGGCGGGGCTGCCGTCGTCGATCAAGGGGTGGCGACCACAATGGTTCTACGTGTTTGCCAATGGGGGGCTTGGAGTGCGTACCATTTGGAAAGTACCCATCAGGTCTGTGGAGCCGAAACTGGGAGCAGCCGCGGAGGGAAGGGTGAAGAGGGTGAAGGAGTGGAGGGAGAAAGAAGGGGCCAAATGGGACGAGCTCGTTCAGCCGTCTGCATTGTTTGAGGCAGGGTTGCGTCCAAAGCCAAGTAGTGGGGAACTCGACCGAGCGGAGTTTAAGTCGAGGAGAAGGGCTCAAGAGGCGGAGGATCAGGCTATCCTTACTAAAGCCCAAAAATTCAAAGAGTCCCAGGCCGATCGACCACCAAAACTGGTTGCGAGGGAGAGGATTCGACCTCGCCCCAAACCCGTGGGAGAGAAAAACTTAGGCGATTTTATGCCACGGCCGCCCCCAACAGACCCTTTGAAGGAGAGGTCTTTGAAGGAGATGGAGGCGTTGGGCGTGGAGAAGAAGAAGAAGAGGGTGAGGCGGAGTGAAGAAGTGCCTGCCCAGAAGATGAGGAGGGAGACAAGTGTGAAGGAAACCAGTGTTGCCAAGGGAGCTGAAGGGGAAGAAGAGGAGGGGACCCCAGGAAGGATAGGTGGCCCAGAAGCGGTGGATGTTGCTTCAGAGGGCATAGAGGTGGTGCCAGTGGTGGCGGCGATCGCCGCAGGGGTCACGAGGGCCGCCCTTAAAGGGCAAGAAGAAAATTGGGCAAGCGGCCCTGGCTCAAGAAGAAAAGAGTAGCCCCAGAGGGGCCCTACACCCCAAGGAGGGGGAGTTAGTCTGACCACAGCGATCTACCACGCTCGCGCGGTGGCTGGACGGCTGGAGGGAGAAGAAGGCCCAGCTAAGGCAGGGGCAGACCGCCTGGTGGGGATCGTAGAAGAGGCAGCCCTGCGCTTGGCATCTAGATTCAATGAGGCTGAACTGCTGAGGGGGTTATGCTCCGCCCAAATGGAGGTAACCACCTTAACAGGGGCTCTGTTGAGGAAAGCGGGGGCTGCCAAACTCAAGGCAGATGAAGCCAAGGCCCAGCTTGCGAAGTTGGAGAGGAAGAGGGCGAGTTGGAAAGCTACCCATGCTGATCTGCAAGCAGTTGAGGTGGAGCTGGAGAGCACACGCCGCCAGGTTGTGTCGCTCGAGTTCCAACTTGCTGGCGAGTAGAAGAAGTTGGAGGAGGCCCAAAGAGCCTGTGCCGTCGCGGTCGAGCGACATGAAGAGGCCATGAGCTGTAATGAAGAGCTGGTCAGGCAAAAAGATGAGACTGGTGGCAAAGTGGGCGATCTCTAGAAGGAATTGGAGGGCGAGCACGCTAAGGCAGTAGAGGAGAAGGGGAGGCTTCAGAAGGAGTTGGAAATAGAGAGAGCGCAGGCGACGGCGGAGAAGGAGAGCCTGGAGAAGGAATTGGAGGCTGAAAAGGCAAAAGCTACGTCAGAAAGGGTGACCCTGCAGAAAGAGCTGGACGAAGAGAGGGCGAAGGCAACCTCTGAAAGGGCGGCTTATCCCGATCTGTGTGTCGCAGCAGTGGAGCAATTCAAAGGGTCTGCCGAATTTCAAATAGCGATTAATGCCACGGTCGCGAGCAGCCTGACTAGGCAAGAATCTGGGGGGGCGGGCCCATCGAGGACGACTGTTGGAGGCAGAACTGAAGCAGAAGTTATTAAGAGCTTCCAGCAGTCAGACTTTTATAAGCACGAAATGGCTGAGTACTGGGACAGTGGCTGGAAGACGTTCAAACGCAGAGCTGAAGAGCTGCTCCCAGACTTAGATCTTAGTAGTGTGACGATTGGCGAAGACGATGTGGCCCAAACCCCCCTGGATGAGGGCATTGAAGAAGAAGACCTCCTCTCCAGTGAGGAGGAGTGACTAGGGAGGAAGGAGAAAGAGACTGTGCACTGACATTGTTTTTTTTTTTTTTTTCGAATTGCTGTAATGAACTTTTGTACAAGGTTGTGAATAAATAAAATTTCAGTTGTGTTTTGCCTTTGACTGTTTTGCTTGTGCGTCTGAAATGGATGAAAACATGTGATAAAAACTTGTAGTAAACTTGTGACAAAAGCTGCATTTAGGAATTCCTTAAGACAGAGTGGGATTGAAATTGTAATAAGGACTGGGTAGACTTCTTAAGGCAGAGCGAAATCAGACTTGTAATAAAAACTCAATGCAGAGTAAAGTTAAACTTGTGATAAAAACTCAATGCAGAGTAAAGTTAAACTTGTAAAATGTAGTAAAATTACAAGTGTGTGTTTGCCACATTGCTCAAGTAAGTTAGTGGTTCATGGAGGGAAGCGTGGTTTGTGAGGAGGAGAGAGCTAACTTGTGAGGGTTTGATTGAGGAGAAAATAACCTATGTCTGACCCTGGGGCTGTGGCGCTCGGTCTGGCTAAGACTTGTTAGGCAGGCCGAGTGCCTCTTGCTCGATCTGGCAGAGGCTTTTATTGCTCGGTCTGGGCGAGGTTCTTAGTGCTCGGTCTGGGCGAGGTTCTTAGTGCTCGGTCGGGCCGAGGTTTTTTATGCTCAGTCTGGCTGAGGCTCTTGTGCTCAGTCTGGCTGAGGCTTTTATTGCTCGGTCTGGGCGAGGTTCTTGGTGCTCGGACAGGCCGAGGTTCTTGGTGTTCAGTCGGGCCGAGGTTTTTGATGCTCAGTCTGGTTGAGGCTCTTGTGCTCAGTCTTGTTGAAGCTTTGGATGCTCAGTCTGGCCAGGGCATTTTCGTAATCAGTCTGGCTGAGGCTTTTAGTGCTCAGTCTGACTGAGGCTTTTTCATGCTAGTCTGGCTAAGGCTTTTAGTGCTCAGTCTGGCTGAGGCTTTTTCGTGCTCAGTCTAGCTGAGGCTTTTGGTGCTCAGTCT